AATTTATATAATCAAAATAAAAAATAAATAAGAATTAACATGAAATTCAGTGTCAAAACTCATCTATTACATAAACATGAGGATATGGCTTGAATTCCCTAAACTTATATTTTTTCCTTGATAGCAGCTACTGTAAAATCCCTGTGCTCCTGGATGCTGTGGAAGATCTCCCCACCCTGACTGGCCCAGCAATATGTGCCTCCTAGACCCCTTCCTCCCCAGAACAAAATGAACTAGATTTGTCACCTTCTTTCTTTCTCGTCTCAGCTGAGGCAGACCCAGCCAGCTACAGAGAGCTGGGGGAGAGGGATGAATACATGGCAGGAGTTGCTGTGCTGCTACAGCCACCTATTTCCACTCTCTCTAGAAGAGGTGGAGTTGCAAGCCCTTTGTAACACCCAGGAGATCCTCAATTTCCCTTTGAGCATCGCCTTTTTGCAAAAGAATGTCTAGAAGCCACAATGTAGCTCATAATGCATTTGGGACCCTTCGGAATGAAAGCTCCTGTAGTCTTCATTATCATTGACAATACCCTTTCTGGTGATCTAAACCTGGGGGGCTTAGCGACTCAGAACTAATCTTTAAGCTCTTTCTTACTGCCTCACTACCTGGATTTTATTGGGTACCTTCCCCGACTTACTTATATTGTTTATGTGTGATGTAAATCTATGTTGATAAAGCTTTATGCTATTCCACATCCACTTTTTCCCCTGCATATATATATATCACCTGACAGAAAATGGTTAAAAAATATTTCTAAAATACAATTCCTCTCCTCTAAGAGAGCATACTGCCCTATATTTTGTAGACTTCAGATATAGTGTATTTTGTGTATTATTTCTTTATGATGAAAAATAAGATCGCCACCATGTATGTTAACTTTTGCTAATGTCTGCTAAATTCTATTCATCCAACATTATTCACACCGGACAGCTTAATCACAAATTAAGTCCATCTTTTAATTATATATTGGCATAATAAAATTTTTCAATAAATTACATCTCTGTGATGAGTTTGCAAGTTTCAGCAATCACAGTCATCCTCAGGAGAAAAAGCAAAGGTAACTGGTGATATGTTAACTGCCTGAATTGCTTCTTTCTTGAGTGTAATGAGTGAGATTTACTAATCACTCAATTTTATATTTTTTTTTCCTTTTTCTTGTGTCTTAATAATGACAGAGGCTTCTGTCACAGGATGCTTCAGGGTGGGTCTGGGTTCAGCTGTTACTGGAAGAAAGCAACACTCTCTGCCTGGGCCTTGTATTCAATTTATTCAACCAGCAGCGAAGAGGTTTTTCTCTATTTTTTTTCTATTGTTGTGTTACTACTGTGGATTAATCTGACTGTCACATATATTTAGAGTCACCTAAAGTTTTTAAGTATAAAATCCTCATTCTACATTAAAAAAATTATCACTCTACAGAATTCAATTATTCAAGCTAAAAATTTTCATATTAGTGCTTTGCCTCAGGCTGACTTTTTTAAAGCTTTGGCTAAAACAGGCTTTTTAGAGAAGATTAGTGCAAAGTAGACAACTCTATCAAATTTATAATGACTGCCCTACCAATCTTTTTGAAAGAGCCTTAAAGCACTAACAAGTGACTTTAGAAACATCTCCTTATTTCCTGTCAAAAAATCCATCTTTTAAAGCAGAATCACAGGATTTTCAGATTCTTAGCACATACTTCATAGAGATGTTACAAGCTTTCTGTTCTGATCATAATCCTATCCCTCAATACTCCTTAAGTGCCAACATGCTCCTTGATCTAGAAGGAAAGTTTTCCGTAAGATCAGTGGGTCAGGCAGCAGTGGCAAAACCCCAATATCCTTCAGTCAAAAGCAGAAGTACTGGGCTGTGTTGTTCTGGCTGCCAGAACAGGCCATAAGATTTTGTCTCAGCTCTTATGATGTGTGTTAGTATTTCTTAACACTTTTTAGCCCTTATTACTGAATAAAGCCTCTTCATGTAGCTAAAAAAATCACATCAGACTGACTTCCACAGAATGACTTCCACACCATTTTACATATAGAGCAACAAGGAGCTGCAAAGTCAAATAACAGGACACACTTTGGTGTGGCAGCCAGACGTTTTGCCATGTATCCATGTTGCTTTTCAAAATGCATATGTTGAATCTATAAATTTGGCTAAACATTGTGTTTCCTTCTTCCATCCAAAGAGAATCTCATCAAAAGCAATGAAGATTAACTGTGATCCTTTAGTCTCAAAATTTATGTCAATGTCTTCATTAGCTGAGGTGTTTCAGAGGTGAAGATTGATGATCACAGCAGGGTTTGGATACACTGGTTTTTAATTTGCCTTTTTGAAGGAAATATCTGCAATAGCTTTACTGATTATCATGTAGGTGCTCTTCAGTTATTTTCTGCATCCCATTCCACCATCTTCATTTACATACAAAATGTATACCATTGTAATTAAAATGTAAACGGAGGGTAAACTTAAACAGTGGCATCTCTTATTGGTGTTTTGAATCCTAGCTTATGTGACTTAACACTCAAATTCCTCTCAATCAAATTGATCAGTTGAATTATCCATATTTAAAAGATCTAGTTTTGCTTCCATAAATAGTTATCATAATTCCTATCCCATTGAATTATTAAAGTTTTCACTGCACTGTGAATACATATTTTTCATATGTATATTTATATAAATATATGTAAATAAATATTATATACATATGAAATATTATATTATACATTATATTTTATATAATGTAATAATGGGATTATTACATTAAAACTGAATACATCTGGAAACACACTATAAGAAGAGAAAGAGAGTAAGGCGTTGCTACTTTTTAATCATATTCTACATATATGCAAGCATATCACTATTTTGCACAATCCTTGCTGCTCATATCCATTTCCATAAACTGTGAATTACAAACCCCAAAATATCTATGGAAAGAATTTTTCCATCAGTCACACAATCAGTGGCTTCCTTCAGTTCCCTCCTCATGCCCACATGCTCAGGGGTGAACTCCTGATCACAGCCGTGAATGTGGTGCCAGTTGTATGCCTGCCATTCCTGACCTGTCAGTCAGAGCCAGTCAGTCAGGAATCCACTGGGTCTGACTTAGCATGCCCTTTGCATACTTGCTTAACATTTTAAGCTCCAATTAGTTGCAATTTATGTCCAGTATCACCCTATTAGTTCACACTAATACCTGAGATGACCTTTCTGACCAGCTGAATCTTTCAAATTAGCAAGCAAGAACTAGCAAGAAAAGTACAATGGTTCTGAACAACAATACACAAACGTCGTTGGCAAATGTCATTTAAGTTTGAATAAATAAATTTGTGCAGGTCAGAAATCTGGAAAGGTTCCCATGTTTTCAAAACATACAAAATGACTCCCTGGTGTGAACTTCAGAGTGATTCCCTGCTCTGGAAACCTTCTTCAAAACAGTGGAAGCTGTTGGCTTTGCCCTAACATAGTCACAGGTTAATTTGTATTGTCCTGTGAAAAGGCCTATTTGTAGCAGTATTTCAGTAATTCTGTGTGCAGTGTGAGAATAAGTATTTCATATTTATGTTTAAGTTTTCATATTTATGTTAGAATTTCATTTTTATGTTTGTTTGAAATGTTTAAATTTATGTTTAAATTGTAAAAAAGGTTTAAAATTTCATATTCATGTTTAAATTTCATGTATATTTAGCAACTCCATCCACCCTCTCTGTCCAAAAGCAAAAATATCTAGAAATATTTGAATATTTCAATTGCAAGCCAATGGTAGGCAATTAGCATGGTAACTCAGTAAAATGTCTTCTAATGATAAGTAAATTAAAGACAGATACCAGGTACATCTTCATATATTCAAAGAGTAAATTCCATTCTGCTTAACTGCAGATCACATCTAACGGCCAGTGTTAATGCCTTTCTAGAAAATAAGAGAAAATAAGGTGGGAGACACAGCAAAATTTTCCCAGCAACTGTGTAAACTGCCTGTTATTATTATCTGGGTTTTTTTAATTAGCATTTGAGTATAAAATTAGCATGAAATCTAATCTTTTCAAACACCTGTAATGGCTCTCAGCTGAGCACATGCCTAACTAACCACATGCACAGCTAGATAAATGATTTAATTGATTTCCTAAATCAAGTTTAGGTGAAATCCAGTCTGTACATAGTTCACACTATGACACTGACTGGTTCCATTATTTTAATGAAAACGTCCCAGGTCATTCTGTACACCTTTTAGATATTACTTTTTAAAAAAATCAAAAGAGCACAGTTATAAAAAGTCATGGTGAGGAACACAAAAGACCATGGAAAGTACGCAATTTATGATTGCAGTATCTGGGTCAAATAGCAACAAAGAATAGCAAGAATTGCCTAAGACATATGTATGATGATGTGAAAGTAATCGTGATTATAACAATTGTACAATTATACAGCAGACGTTTTATTCTTGTTTATTAGTACAATAAGGGCTTCACTTTTTTATCTCTGGCTTTGAAGAGATGCGGAAAGATGAGTAAACTGTCAGTTTGAATTAATGTTTTGTCATAAATATTTATAGCCCACAGAAAACAATTGTGTGCCTCTTTAGGGTTGAGCTAATTAGTTATAAATTGGATTCTAAATGTATTAACATAATTCTTTTATAGAAGCTTTGGCTTTCAATAAATTAATATTAAAATACTTAGGTTATAATAAATGCAACACAAGAAACATTTCTAAACCCAGTGAGTGACTATGAGAGGTTTCCTTCCACTTGTTCCACTTACTGGGCCTACCCTCAAGGCTATTTCTTTGTAAGCCTTGATATATGATGCTTCTTTTGTTTCAAGTTTCAAAATTAAAACTATAAAGTATAAATTCTTACTAATAGAAAACCATAACCTAACACGCCTACATCACTTAGAAGGACATGCATGCAGTGAAGGCATTGATAGGTTTGATGGGAGTTTCCAAATCCCAGAGTGTTTAGTCTCTTTTTTTTGACCAAAGAATACTTATAATAAAACAAAAGACAATCATTTGTAGGTTGCAAGTCCCAGATCTTGTTTATTTATAAAGCAATAAATATTAGAAGCACAAATAAATTGCACGGGTGTGTAAACAAACTGTACAATGACTGAAGAGTTCAGGAAGGGTTGCCAGAAGACTCCAAGAAGCATATTGTCGTCATCCTGAGTGGGAAGTAAATTGAGGGAAAAAGTGCTTAGAAGCACTTGCGGTGGACAATGGATGGACCAGCTTCATCATACTCCTGTTTACTGATCCACATTTGCTGGAAGGTGGACAGAGATGCTAGAATGGAGCCACCAATCCAGACAGAGTACTTGCGCTCAGGTGGGGCAATGATCTAGGATAAAGAAAAACAACAAAATCCTCATTTAGCAGTTACATTTCTGAACAACCAACCCACATCACCAATGTAACAAACCACTAGATATTTCCTTAAGTAAATAAATAACTTTTCTATAATAACAGTATGGATCTTCAGCAGCTGGTACAATACATGTAATATTCCTTAAGACAATCTATAACCATATTTTCCTCTTTTCTAACACTTGCTTCTAATCAATATAATTATGCTGATTAAATGGAGTTTCTTCTCATTTGTCCATCAGCTGTTGATCTCACTTTTGAGTTGTTCCTGTATCCCAGTTTAATGATGTGGACATTTTCCCCATCCTTACCCACATTTTAAAGTACAGAGTCAAATTCCTCACCTTGATCTTCATAGTGCTAGGAGCAAGTGCAGTGATTTCTTTCTGCATGCGATCAGCAATGCCAGGGTACATTGTCGTTCCACCTGAGAGGACGTTGTTAGCATACAGGTCCTTACGAATATCAATATCACATTTCATGATACTGTTGTAGGTAGTTTCGTGAATACCAGCAGATTCCATACCTCGAGAAGAAATAAGATAGTAGATCAGTAAATTATATAGGAGGTTTTCATGAGAAGAACTCTCAGCATTTTTCCTCATCATTAACATGAACTTCTATGACATTTTTGTGGTATAATTACTTACTGATTATTAAATGTTATAGAAAAACATAGAAAAATAGAATGACAGAACTAGCTAAGAAAATGAAAATTATTTGTTAGAAAGGGTAAGAATCATAATGCATGTGCAAAGAAAAGATACTCAAAATATACAGTATGAGAAGAAGCAGACACACAAGATAAACTCATTTAGCATATGGCAATGGGAGAAAGTTATACAGAACAGAAAACATGAGTATCAGATTACATCAAAGTCTCACAAAAAGCACTAGTTGAATATAGAAAAGACAGCAATAAAGACAATGAAAGCAGTTGAGTTAGAACTAAAGAAGACAATGGTAACTTCATTTCTTTTTCAGCCTACTCAAAATACAGTCTATACTATTTACAAACATCAAGGCAAGACATAACCAAGACATGGACCAAGATATTAGTACTCGGTGGTAAGGAAAAAGAAACCAGAAGCAAGTGTTTGTAGGTTGCATTCCAGTTTATTAATTTTAACAGGTGCTTCCTGTAAGGGCTGACACTAGATCCACAGCAAGATGTCAGCTGATGAACAACTGCATTTATTACTCAGGACTTACAGTATAAGCATTTGCTATATCCGTCAGCTGCACTCACAAACAGCAAAGCTTACCATCTTGACCATGGCAATGTTTAATTAGAGTGCATAGAAATATACACACACTTTCATTCAATTTTTTTCCCCTCCCAGACACTTCTTCATGGAGTCAGATACTGGTTTAAGTGTAATACAGCAATGAAAGCTATTCTTGCCACCAGTGACATAGAATCATAGAATATCTCAAGCTGGAAGGGACCCATAAGGATCATCGAGTCCAACTCCCTAATAATGATATTCTAACTGTACATTTTATCACTAAAAAACTGTGACCCTAAAACCTGATCTAAAACTTGCAACAAAAGTCCAGAGCTCAGCTAATTACCAGTTGAGCTCACATCAAGCACAGCTTACAGGGACCAGAGGATCTAACTCATTATTTATTTACATTTGATTTCATGCCAAATTTAGATAAGCAGGAAGAAGAGTGGGACACCTTCTCGATCTTCTGATTCATTCATACCTCCTACAGAAAGGAGAATTTCCTGGGAACACTTACCAATAAAGGATGGCTGGAATAAGGTTTCAGGGCAGCGGAAACGTTCATTACCGATTGTGATTACTTGACCATCAGGCAATTCATAGCTCTTTTCCAGAGAGGAGGAAGAGGCAGCAGTGGCCATTTCATTCTCAAAGTCCAGTGCAACATAGCACAATTTCTCTTTGATATCACGAACAATCTCACGTTCAGCTGCAGATATATAGGAATCAAGTCAAGGTTTGGAGAAGCAAAATACTAGAGGAAAAAGAGAGACAACTCTTGCCAAGAGAGACATGAGGATTCTCATGCGAGGGCAAAGCTGAAGGACTGACCTGTTGTCACAAAGGAATAGCCACGCTCCGTGAGGATCTTCATGAGGTAGTCAGTCAGATCCCTGCCAGCCAGATCCAGACGCATGATAGCATGAGGCAAAGCATAACCTTCATAAATAGGTACATTGTGGGTGACACCATCACCAGAGTCCAGAACAATACCTGGGAGAGAAATGTCAGAGAGCGGTTGGAATCACCTAGCAAATGCTTAGAGCCCCTAGGCACAGAAAGCAGCAACAAACACAACAAAATATAGGATTTTTCAGGCACTATGAAGTAGCATCATTCTATTTTAGCCATAAAGATCTTGCCCATTCCTTCTGCCTTTGCTTGCCTGGACATTCCTGTTTGGTGTGAACTTTCCCATAAAACAGTTATCCCAAACATATTTTAAGCTAATCCATACGAACAGCCTTCCACTGCTACTACACTGAGCAGTAAGTATATTTGCAATAAAGATTGTCTTGGTCCAATAATGGGCATATTTTGGGCCCAGTTTAAAACTGCTGCAATACTTGTGTAACTGCAGTATCTTCACAGGAACGTCTCCTCGTTTGTGTCATGACAAGCGGCAGGAGAGTCAGTTCCACCGTGCCTCTCTGAAAGCAATGCAGACAGGTCCACATTGTTCTGCCCACAGACTATTTTGTACTGGATTTTCTGCTACTGTTATCATCAGCTGCTATAAACTAAAAATACCTAGTTTTCTGTAAATTTGAATGAGTTATGGGGTTTTTTTCCTATTTGGAGTGAGAAGGAAGGAGGGCTCCTGGAAGGGAAAATCTAAATAGTGTTTATTTTTTATTTTACCTGTTGTACGACCAGAGGCATACAGGGACAGGACAGCCTGGATCGCCACATACATAGCAGGTACATTGAAGGTCTCAAACATTATCTGGGTCATCTTTTCACGATTAGCTTTAGGGTTCAAGGGGGCTTCTGTGAGCAAGGTAGGGTGTTCCTCAGGGGCCACACGGAGCTCATTGTAGAAAGTGTGGTGCCAGATCTTTTCCATATCATCCCAGTTGGTGATGATGCCATGTTCAATGGGATATTTCAAAGTAAGGATACCTCTTTTGCTCTGAGCTTCATCACCCACATAGGAATCTTTTTGACCCATACCAACCATAACACCCTAAGAGAAGAAAATACAGAGAAGCATTATTTGAAGAAGACTACATCACAGAGCCCAAACAATTACATCACAGACAACTATGCTATTTTCAAGAAAGGTACAAGCAGTCACACCACTGAAAGGTTGTTCAGGAAAATAAATGAGCATTATTAAAATATTTAGTCAACAGAATTTGAAGTTTTCTCATCAAATCCTTTTTCCTTTAATCTGATGAAAGGATTTTTTTCCCATTTTTTAATGCACCTCTTATTTTCAATTACTTGTTTCTGGTCCAAAGTTTGACTGAAAGTAAACTGCACAATATCATGAGCAGGAAAAGATATAGAAAGACATACAAAGAGAGTTTATAAACAAGAAGATACAGAGGGAAATGAGCCGTCTAGTGAAGGAAGATACTCCGTATTACCATGGAGCCTCAGCAGTAATTTATTCACAATAACAAAACACATATTGCAAATGTTTTAGCTAAAAAAAAAAAAAGCATTACAAACTTTTTATCAAGGAAATTGTAGGAGAAAAAGTATTGTATTTTCTATATGCTGATTTAACTGTGACACAAGAGAAGGAGAATGAAACGGGAACAGAGAAGGAGGCTTAGAGAGCAGTGAGAAGGTAAGGTCAGAGACAGACAAAAGAAACAGAGGAAATGGAAAGACGGTGTTTGGTACGTGAAACATTGGACAGGATGGGTGGGAAGGGCCTTAAACAAACTGCATCGTGCACAAATTCAGCCAATGGAGATGCCTTTGAGCGAGCACCAACAGCAGGTCTGGCCTAGGGGATGGAGTGGGCAGCAGCTTTGTAGGAAGCTGGGTTTGGGCTCATTAGGAGAGAGAACAGGGAGAGAGTCAAGAAGAAAGTTGGTGAGTTAGAAATAGCTGGGGGAAAGGGAGACAGTGATAGAAAGGAGATAAGGGACAGCCAGACAGGGGAGTTGAGTGCAGGGCTGGAGAGAACTGGGAAGGCGCAGCTAGTACCACCGCAAGAAGTGAGCCGAGGGAAGGGCAGGGTATTCGGGGCGGGACAGAAGAACTAAGGAGGGAAGGGGCGAGTGGAGGCGACTGCTGGAGAGAGGGGGAAGGCTCGGTGCTGCCCCCGTCCTGCCCCCCGTATTTACCTGGTGCCTCGGGCGTCCGACGATGGACGGGAAAACGGCCCTGGGGGCGTCATCTCCGGCAAAGCCCGCCTTGACCAGCCCCGAGCCGTTGTCGCACACCAGTGCGGTGGTCTCCTCGTCGTCACACATCTTCGGAGGGAGGCACGGACCTGAAAAACAGCGCGGCGGCGCGTCCAGACCCACGCGGCGAGCGCGGCG